CTAGGGGTCTACGTAGCCCGTGTCAGGGAGCTCTGGCTGGAGGTGGGGCGGGGGGGAGAAGAGAAACTGTTCCCGCCTTCGGGGAGTCCCCAGTCTGAGGGAGGAAGCCAACCCCAGCTCTCTGGGAATCTTGGTCTGAGGGAGGAAGCCTGCCTCTGCCTTCAGAGAGTCCTGAGCCCTTGGAAGCCAGAGCTTGGGTCTGGGGGTCACTAAGTGGCAGAGGAGTTCTATTCCGGACTTGACCTTCAGGAGTGGCAGTTGGCATGGGTACCCAGGTCAGGAGCCCTTGGCAACCTAACAAGAACGTAGGATTGGGATGGCCTTAGAAAGCCAGCCCCTCCATCCCTGTGCGTCCAAGAAGGACTGTCTTGCCCTCCCCTGCCTACCCCTAAGCTCACTCTGTGGGCAGGAGGCAGAGAAGACAGCTTGCGAGGGAACTCAGTTGCTCCTGGTGGAGAGGATCAAGTGGGCAGGCCTGTAGTGGCATCAAAGACCAATTCTCTCCACTCTTCACACTACACATCAAGGCCCAGAGAGGGCAGAGCCCTTGCCCAGGGGCACACAGCGAATTCATTGCAGATGGGGGCCCAGTACTCAGGGTTCCCACCTCTCAGCCAGAGGTCTTTCCTGGAACCCTGATGCCCCCAAAGAAGCGTCAGGCACTGAGGTCTGAGGGCTCCAGGGAGGTGGCAGTGGAGGCTGTGTCTGGGGCGGGTTCTCAGGGCGCCTGGGCAGGAAGAGATTTCCCGGGCAGGAAGAGCTCCTTCCACAGGGGCCTGCCTGCCATTTCTATTTCAGCCACCAGGTGGCGGCAGCTCCTCATTTATCTCGCCGTCTGGGCGGCCGGAGTGTGCGCGGGGACAGAGGTTCTCGTCCTCCAGCAATTTTTTTCTAACATTTTCTTTATGTATCTGACGGAAATTTAACATAACACACCTACCCACGTGCTTTACAAAAATCACTATACTATCACACTGTAGCGTAGCTGTAGCTGAAGGGAAAGGTCTATGAATTTCAGTGTGTTAATGCACACAGCTGCATGGCAGATAGGGTATCGTCCTAATACATTGGCATTTAAAAGAAGTGAGAAGAAAATAAATAAGAAGTGAGAAGGTTGGAAGCCATTCTCTACAAGAAGCCCAGGAAACTTAAGGAATATGGGTGAATGTTGAAATAAAAGCTGACAATGTATAATAAAACCATGCCCCCCCCCCAAAATCCACAAACCCGTAATATTTTACATGTAGAACAGAATCAGGTTTT